ATGGCAAATTATATGCTCACAAATAGAGCAGTTGTAATAGCATATATGGAGGTTAACAATGATTATGCATACAAAATGTAACTCAATAGTTCAGAGATCAGTAACAAATAGGTCATAATTCAGTTATAAGTCTGATAAATTTGAAGTCTGAAAAGTTCACACACCCATTCATTTCACCATGGAGTTAAAAAAAATGCCATTAATTGTACTTACATTGTAGGTACTTTATTTTTTAATTTCTACATTATTTAGGTGTGTCATACTGTGATCATAGATACAGGAAACAAAATATCTATGTTTGCTTTTCCTTCAAAAGGCCAAATGGACAGCCTTGTAATTTACTCAGTTAAAATGGCTTTATTTAGCAGGGTTCATAAATCAGCACTTATGGAATCCCTTGTGTGCACACAGCATGTATGTTAATCTATACATACAACACACATGCAAGGAATCTTCATGGTTCAGAGGTCGAGAATTCATTTTATCTTCCCTGAGTCAACTATTGGGTAAAAATATCAATAATCTCATCAAAAGAAGAATTTTGCCGCTAGAGGCATGAAGTTGAATGCGAATCACGGGTCTGCAGGCAGCAGAAATTACCACCTCATGCAACCCAGCAGCAAAATCCCTGGTTTACTGTGGCCAAGCCTCCATGCAAGGTCAGTACAAGCAGATAGGTAGCAAAAAAATAGTGTAGGGCAGCAGATTGAAAGGGTAGCCCAGCAGAAGTTAAATCTTGTCTTGGCACAGACCAAGGGCTCTGAATTCAGGCAATTGTTCAGGCAAAGCTGGCGCTCTGCCTGTCAATGCTCCAGGAGTAGCCAGAAGTGCTGAGAAAAAACCATTGTGTTGGCCCTACCATCAGCTTCTCTTCCATGTTTTATACCATTATTTTCCTGTGAGATTTCTGGAAGTGCTGTGTATCTCCTGTTTCTACTGAAATCCCTACTTAATTTAAAGGAGTTGTTGTGACACCTCAGATCCCTTTAAGTTTGATGGGTTTGGGTTCCTGAGACAAGAGACAGGAAAGGCGAAAAGGGAAAGGGAAAATGGACACAAGAAGTAACCCAGCTATAGATCATGTGGCATTTGGCAATGGTAGATTAAAAAGTCATTAGCTATCTCAAAATGAATATTTTTAACAAAATTACATCTTCTGATTTAAACCAGCCACAAGCCAGGAAATTCAAGCTTAAGAATGGGATCCATTTAAAGTAATTTTATTCTAGCTTGGTTTATCAGTATACTTACCAGAAGCAACTTTAATACTTCATGAAATCTCAAGCAGTCCAGCCAAGACCTGGTGATAAATTGCTCTAACAGCAGCGTGGGGGTTGAGAAATGCACTTTCCTTTGCATTCATGGCTACAGGTGACCAAGTGGTAATGACACTATTAACACATTTCACCTTTTTAAGCTCTCCCGCTGGTGTTTTACTTATACTAGTTTATGGAGGAATCATTTCACTTTGGTGTTACAAGTCCCTTGCGTCCTTAGTGGTGTTTTTAAGAAAATAAACAGAAAAGGGAAAGGAGACCATCCTCTAGGATATGTGATTTTGGATAAAACCATCTGATTCCATCAGCAAATTCTGTCTTGTATGAAAAAAACTTGAGAATTTTTATAACAGATCAGATAAGACTAGAGATCAATTTAATTAAGTTTTCCCTTTGGGAATCAGCAATACCTGCTTTGTAATGAGCAGCTATTAGGTACTTGCCATATTTTCTAACTGATTCTCTAGACAGATATGTTTGCATTTGTTATGTAAATGTACATATGTATATTAAAAAAAGGAAAAAAAGTAATATTGTCTCAATTCATCATTTGACTGACTCCCCACTCTAGATAGGCATGCAGAAGGATCTTTTGTTACAGCTGCAGCTATGTTTCTATGTCCTTCTCTATGTAGCCTTCTGAATACTGTACTGATTCTTCAGAAAATATTACACAATTCATTGTTTACCTCTTCTTTTCAAAAGCTATCTTTCCTACCATTCTCAATTCTTTTTATCATGTAAATACAAAAGAAATCTTCTATTTAACAACTCTAACTTACTAACATCCTACAACTGAGGTGTTTTTTTTACCAGAAACATTTGTCCTTGACAATATGAAAACAAACCTCTTAACTCCATGAAGTCATTTAAAAGAAGAAGAACTAAAAAAAAGACAACCCCAGAGTACTCCTAGTACAGCACAGAGCAGCAAACAATACAGTATATGGGAGCGTTATGGGGCCAGATTCTGTCTCCATGGACATCAGTTGGATGTTTATAACTGATTTCTAAAGAATCAGGCCAAGACTCCCACATCGAAATAGAGGCTTTCAGATGGGATTTGTGTTGAATATCCAAACAAATCTGAGTATTTGACACCTTTATTATACTCTAAATGCTTGGTTACCACAATACAAGACAGAACTGGGTTGTTTCAAGAAGAGAAAGAAGTAATTGCTGTCTTCAATTCCCTAATGGGAGGTTACAGACAAGGTGGAGCCAGACTCTTCCAGGCGGTTAAAACACAAAAGGGCAGGAGGCAACGGACAAGGTTTGCAACAAGGAAAATTCCAAGCAGATAGTACGAAGATTTGTGTCAGTCGTGGTAGTCAAAAACACGTGTGTTGTCCGAAGAGGCTGTGGAATCTCAATTCTTCAAGATATTCAAGTCTTGATTGCATGACCCTGAGCAACGTGATCTGACCCAGAGTTTGCTCTGAGTGGAGGACTTAGACCAAAAGTTCTTCAGGAGGGGGAAGGGGAACGAGAGGGGAGGGGA